TTTTTTTTTAGTAAGAAACTTGGTGAGACCATTATTAGTTTCGACAATTACAATAAGCTCAACAAATATATAACAATAGCAATAATGTCACGACTATAAAATAAAATTATAGTTGAAAATACAATAAATTGATAGTTTGAACATACAATGACATTAAGGTCTATATATAAATATAAATATAAGATATGAATGTACAGACACAGAGTATAAGATAATTAATATTTAAAATACAGGTAATGAACAGATAGTAAGCAAAGAGGTATAACGTGACTAACACGATTTGATATATTTAAATTGTTGATAATTGAGACTTATTTAGAAGTGAAATAAGGAGGGAGAGAATGGATTTTATGATATTAGAAATTTCGGATATGAAGGAGGATAATAAAGTTTCAATACTTAAAGGGAGCTTAGGATAGTTTTGACCAGAGGACGTGGCTTGAGCATAAGAATGATGATTGGTAGCAAAAGAGGTTTTGGTAGTATTGTTTTTTGGTAAAGGAGTATTAGGTATGGGAGGATCTCGCCTAATTGGAGGAGCATTACGTTTAAGTTTTTTGTAATCGGGGTAATCTTTGTAGTTGGCTGCAGTGAGGCTGCCATTGCATAGGTCACATCTGACTGGAGATTCACGTGGCTTGATACAGGAACCTGAGATATGGTTTTCTCCATCTCCGCATTTTACACAGCGTGGATCGTGATAAATTGATAACAATATTTTCGAGTATGACAGTAAGACTGGCATGTATAGCACTGTGGAGGGCTTTTTGGTGGGTGTGGTTTTTCAACAATAATTTTTGAGTAGAGAAGATTTTATTTTGTAGAAGTAACTCAATCTTGGATACATCCGAGTTGTTTGTAGCTTTTGGATATCAACAAAGAAAAGTGGCAAGGGCGTTTTGTCCGAAAATCGCTTAATATGTTGTGTATGTTGGTGACGTGGTGGCCCAAATCTGAAAGGCCGGCGATGATGTCTTTGTGTGCAGTRTGGAGATTTCGTATAACTACGCGTAACGGGCGTATAGAATCTGGCTGATATGAATGATAACTATAATATAATCATTCTCCTCTATAAATGCGTTAATAACTGATTGTAATGTTCAACAAAATGAGTGCGGGCGATAAGATAGGAAAGCGTGGATTTACAGATAAAATCCGTAGCGCCAAGTTTGGTCAAAAGACTAGAGATGAAAGCGGATATGTTACACACATTTTTAATGTAAAAAGGCGGTACCTTTATTTTGTCATCGCTGTTGCGGATTTGGACGTTGATTGTAGATGTGTTCGCGTCGACGTCGTCGCACTAAGATAGAACGGAGAACCGATTTGAACTTGTGAATAATTGGGTTTTCTTTTCTTCTGCCTTTGGCGAGAGGGAAGCAGCAGAGAGATTTATTTTGTTTGTATTTTTGGAAGAAACCACGCTAGGTTGAGGTGACATAATAACTTGATTATTATTATAGACAAAGCAGTGAAGGAAGGTTACGATTAAATAAGAGAGCAGCTGCGAGCATAGGTAGGTACTGCTAATGAACAGACGTGCGCACATTACGAGTTACGACATTCGGAACCGAACTGAACCGTACCATTAATTCCAAATAWTTTGTATTAGTAACCTATTTTTTAAACATTGCCAAAATGTATTATCACCTATTATTGATTTTATTTTATTTTTTTAGGTAATGTTTTATTGAATTAAATGATTTAGCTATGTCTAGAAATATCATCCCGCAGCATTTTTTTTTTCTTTCCCTAACGCTTCATATATCAAGTWAAATTATTGCTACCCGGAATCTCATATTATCTCGAAATCCAAATTATTTTACACTAAGGTCACTTTTATATGTAATAAATCTCTATAATTATTTATTACAACTTTTGCTAACGTGAAAGCACGCGATACATGTTGACAATGTTGTGTAAGTTGCCTCACCACCTTAGCTCAACGACAATAATATTAAATTGTTCATGTTGTTAAAAAGCATGAGCATTGGCGTAATTCCATTAAATTTCAGCAGGTGCAAAATTTTATCGATTCAATAATCGTAATGATAAATTAAGTCATATTATTCATATTAATTTAAAGCTAATTGCATTGCTCGCGTGTACTATAGGTATCTTTTTATATTTAATAACAATATAACACAAACAAATATCAAAAATCTGTATGTACCTATATTTTAAATACTATATTATGTGCTGTGTCTGTACTATATGATACATTATACACATAAAAATATAATATTTATATGAAATTAAACAAAGTGATAACATTTTTAAATAAGTTTAAAAATATAAAAAAATCAATGAAATTTAGTTGGTATTGTATTTCAATAGGTATAAAGTTCAGCATCTGCAGGTGCAAAAGCATATCTTTTCACCTGCTACATAATACCAGGGGGGTGCAAGTGCACCGTCGTGCATCCCCGTAATTACGCCACTGAGCATGAGGTATTACACGTGGTGCGTTTTTTTTTTTATTGTAGTGTCCCAGGTAGCCGGTAGGCACAGTCAACATTGTAAGCTAGTCTTTTATGGGYAATGTCAATTATTTTACAAGTACATTTATGCCTTTCTATTAAATAATGTTATGAATTTATTGAAAATATCAAAGATTATTTAGGAAATTTATGATCTTCTGGGAAATATCAAGCTTTTGATATACTAAACTTTTAATAAGAAATATTAATTGTTCGATTACCTACATGGGATACTTATGAATATCTGGGAAGTATTCAAGTATCAGCGAATCGCATATCGTCAGCGAACCGCACGCCGAGACGCCGTAACCTACCGAGATTTTCTCTGTAAAAAACTTTATTAATATTTTAATGGATAAACCACAAATCATTGAGTAGGTATCAAAATACAGCTTATGAGTTACGAGGTGTATGAGCCTACCGACTAAGTAGGTTGCGTACATCGRTAGGGCACTATCCATCTTGGTGTAAAAGAGGACCCAAAATATGTGAAATTTATGACGATCTCAAGTCTAAATCATCAGGAGTCATTGAAGAAACTGCAGAGGTAGCTTTTGAGCTTGYCATTTATACCATATAATTAGAAAATTTACTTTTAATTTTTTTAAATCGTTTATATAAGTAATAATTACCTTTTTTACTTTACTTTATRTTATTAATTTGTTATTATAACATAGTACTTACTGGCTACTGCTTTTAAGCAAGTAAATAAACAAAAACGTAYCTATAGAAGTATATAGGTASTATAAGTATAATATACATGTGCAAGTGCAAGTCAGATATAAAATATATTCATGTGTTTACGGTAATTTAAAAATTTTAGTTCTCTAATGCACCAACTAGATTGACTTTCCAACTGGAAAAGCTACAGAAGATGAAAATCAAATCATTATTTTGACAACTTATTGTGTACACAGACACACACATCTTTGTAAAATCAATACATTCATCGTTCCGCTCAGAATATAAAATAAATGTATCTTTTTAAATAATAACTTTAATTAAATTTATGTTATCAAAAAAATAACGACACCATGGCATAGATAAAGTTCTTACCTAAAGGTAAGTTGTAGAATTTTGATAATTCTACTAAAAGTACTGAGGAAGAAACATTGTCCCACGCAAGTACAGTGTTTGCTACATGTGGGTGTAAAGTCCTCTTAAGTCATATTTTCAGGGTATATTCAGTGATTTATTAGAGCATAGTAAATGTATATTTTGAGGTTTTTAAGGGCATTAAGTCCCTAGACTAATTAGTGACCAATGACTTGTTAATTTCATATCATAAAATGTACATAAAATAAATAAAACCATAAGGTAGGTGCAAATACTAAATAGTTAATATGAATGAAATCTTATTCTTGCTGTTGACAATATAAAGTAAATGGAGAGGTTAAGACAACCACCCATTTATAAAAATATATAAACAAATATAGACAATAAATTTAAACTTTTTTAACAATATTTTAATAGAACACTTTTTTTATCCAAGGTTTCWATAAAATATACATAATATACATGATTACAAGATTAAATAGCTATGCATTATACATGTTTTATTTTTTTTATAGAAAGTAGTAAATTATTTCATGCAATTTTAATATTCATAAGAAATCAACTAATCACATTTAAAGTAAAAACTGGTTGTACATTTTTGTTTTCATAAAAATATTAAGAAATAAAAAGTTTATAAAAAAAATTTATATATACATGTAGGATAGATAACTCATAATAAAAATGTATTATGTTGAAGTCTCTTCAATATTCTACTGTAAGCATTCATTGATCTGCTTACAGCTAACCTGCATAAAATTATGACTTAACTATTAACTTTTGTAGGTCATATTGTAGGTAATATTATTTTGTCTAAATATTTTACTAACTATTAATCACTTAATGTAAATTAGTAAATTTTACTAATGTTTTTGGCAACTGATCACAGTAGTATTTTTTTGGAAATCGGCGCTTGAGCACACTGGCAGATAGACATTTCAAACTCCTTGGCATACTGTTTGTTAAATGGAATAAATCTAAACCAAAAATCAATTATTCACAATAAAATGGAATAAAGTTAAATAGGATAAAATAGTATAAAATAATTACTTGACAGATATCCTGTATGAGGACAAACCCCTAATTTGTTTACATAGTCTGTATGAGCACCAGCATTCAATAACTCCATGACCATTTTTCTTGTGTCTAAGTCATCACTGTCATGTGGTATGTGAGGACTTAAAATACAATTATTGTAAAATTAAAAACATGATTGTTGATCTCAAAAAAATAATATAAACACTTACAAATCTGTAATAAATTTACCAATGTAATGGAGGGGTGTATTTTTATCATTGTCAAYTGCATCTACATTCGCTCCACAATGAACTAATAATTTCATTGCAAGAAAGTTTGGAAAGCTGCAATAAAAAATATATAGGTACAATAAGTAGTCTTCTAGTATAAAAATTCAACGTAGAAAACACTAATTCRCATAAAAATATAAATCTTTCAACTAAAGAATTTTAAGTAAAATCTAGATTACAGAAGTATGTGTAACAAATAAATAGGTAAATTAAAATTAAAATTTTCTAGTTATTGTATTTGTTTTAAAATTATCTTACCAACAAATTCCTGTAGTAAAAATATTGTCAACATTTGTGTCATAATTAAGGCACAAGTGAAGTAATGTTTGACCTTTATTTGTTTTGAGTTCAAGTTTATTTATCTCCACTATAACTTTCATCAAATCACCTACCAACGGATCTTCATTATTATTATTTTGTAATAATGCGATACTAGTTATAATAATTAGACCAAGCGTAGACTTAATRTTTGAATAGTATTCATCCTATTAMAAAAGATAATTGTATGTTTTTAATTTCATAATCACAAGTATTAACCATTTTTTTAAATTAGAAATGTAAATGGGTAGTTTCCGTATTATCCAGACTTCATAATATGTTGATCAATAATTTAATGGACTACCACTATTTTTATATAATATAATCTAATGCAATAATATCATATTGGTGGTGCGTGTGGCTGATTGTAGGACACTTTTAGATGTGTTGAGTATTATGTTGCAGATACTGCAGGAGTATTTCACATGTTACATATTTTACAAATATTATTTAATTCACATTTTATTTTTGTATAAAAGAAAAAATATTAAAATTAAAATGTCTTAGTAAAGTTTAATGAAAATGAAATTTAATTTTATACTATATATGCATTTAAAAAATATATTTGAATTTATGTAATAAATAATGAATTTTTTGAAAGGGCATTTATTAACATTTTTTAAGGCACTTATATCTGAGCCCTACTAGTAATATATTATGGGATTATTCATTATTATAACATCATAAGTACATAGTACACATAAATTGTTTGCATTTCTGGTTAAGTTTTGAGTATGTTTAAATAATCATTACACTAAGATAAGATAGACATTGGGAAAATTGTGTATTTCGGAATAGAAAAGCAAAAATATGCCATACAAAATCCATGGGCAAGTTAATTGGTTTGAAAAAAAGTTGTATAAAACAGCAAATTTATACAAAAACAATCATTGATTAAGTAATGTCAAAAACTTAAAATATATTATGTAATATAACAGTAGTTATTAATTTGAATCATTTTTTTTTAGATATGTTTGTGTTATGTTAACAGAGAATAACTTAAATGGAATGAAAACTGATTATAAATATTATTCTAGGAGACAATAGCGCATGAAATCATTTTTGGTAGAATTTTATTATAACAGTAGATATTTGAGAGCATATATAGTAAAATATTTAAAAATATTTGTTTTTTTAAGTTTTGAGAATGCAAAATAAACTTTACCAAAAGCAATTTAAGATAATATTAAACAGAGATCAACAGTATATTCTAATAGTTGGCAAGCTTACAATACTTAACAAATAAAAGATACTATATACAGATGCAGTAATTTTAGAGTTAATCACACTTTTAATGATGTTGGTACTGTAACAATGGTCCACGCACAAAATCTAGAAAGATTATAGGAATCAGTGAAGCAGCACACATTTTTTCCCTCCTAAAAATAAAACTATATTTATATTATTTTTGGTGCTAGTTTGGTAAGCGCTCTACAGGTTTTGCCGTTCTACACATGGTCTACGTTTGGTACGGGAATATTGGACGACAATAATCTGCCTCATTTTGCTGGCCAAAGGAAGTAAGATAAGGGTAGATTATTAGTTGGAGATGCTCCTCCCTCATTGACAAATATAAATGCCACTAATAAAATAAAAATGTAGTACGAGGAGCGCATACCAAACTAGCACCATATTTTCATTATACATAGTTGACAACGTTGTTGAATGACATAAAGTAAAAATACATAATAGTAATCTACCTAAATTTTTTATATAACTTCATAAAAGTGGACCATACAATCTATATTTATATWATTTTTGTATTTTATTATAATTATATAAATGTGTTGTAATCTTGTACTGTTCTTGTATTTTGTTTTAGATTTTGAACGAAGTGATGAATGTATTGATTTTACAATGATGAGTGTGGTTTTTTTTTTTTTGCGTCTGTGTACAGCATAACTAGTTGAAATAATGCTTCAATTTCAAACTTTGTGGGTGCTTTCTGATGTAAAAGTGAATATCCTTGGTGCATTATAGA